TCTTTTTCTTCTTGCTTTAGTGATTGTATCCGCAGTATTTCTCATCATATCAATATGTCTCCTTGGATTCACATTAGCATTTACTCCGATAATTGGAATGGCTTTTTTTTCAATTTCACTTTCATTAGGACAAGTAGCATCATTGACGTCAATATTAATACTATTACCTTTAGATTATATTGGTACCGCATTAGGGATATATAAATCAAGTTCAAATATTGGATTAACAATTTATGATATAATTGTAGGATTATTACAAGATTTGGACAAAGGCAACTACGATATGGTAATGATATTTTATGTGATCAGTAGTATAATAGCTATAATAGTAACCATCAGCTTATTCTTTGTGTCAAAAAATTGGTGCGATTGTGTAATGGATATGAAGAAGAATGAAAGGAAAGATTATTATGAGAAAAAACCTGTTAGACTTGATGAAAAACGCGGAGTAATGAATTACATCTTTATTTGTTGTTTTATTTGTACGTTGGTTTCAAGTTGGATTTTATTTTTTCATTTTTGTATTTTAAATAAAACTTTATTTTACTTTTACATTATGAAAATGATTCGTAATGACAATTATGAACATTATATCTCATTTGCTTCGTTAATGAGATGATTATTTAATAGGCTCATATTATTGATATGTATGGCCAGATATCGAAATATAAAGGGTTTTTTATATATACAGAAAAATCTCTCAATAACGAAAAAAAAATCAATATATTCAACGCAGTAAAATTATTCATTTATCAAATGACTATTTGTAATTTATCTTAAAGATTTTCATAAGTTTCATTTTTCTTAACATTCAAGTCAATGTTAAAAGGACTCAAGGCATAACTGGAGAAAATGATTTCCACAAGTTTTCTAATATACGTACTGAAATCATACATCAAACCATACGTACTAATGTTGCAGTTTTGTATAATTTCGTTACATTTAGAAGTCTTCTGTGTGATTACCGTTGTCTTTATTCATATTAAGAACAAGAATTCTCGATTTAATTTTCAATTTTCTCATTATTTTAGAAGTTAAATAATAATGACTAACATCGTTTCTTAATTGAGTACTATACGAGTCCACTTCATGACTTTAAATTTAAAAAAAAAATCAGTTCTGGAGGTATCCTAATTATAAAACTCAGAAATAAATTTAAATCTTAAAGCAACAAAATATCTTAAAATTGTACGTCGTACATTCATATTCATAACAGGTAATGGTTCGTGACTCAGGCGTTGGGGCAGAATGTAAAATATAATAAGCAATAAATCACCTATACCAAGCTTTCGGCTGAATGAAATTATATATAAAATCTCCTAACGCTAATTTTTACATTCCAAATTTGACCAGCCTCCATTTATCGGTTTTTGGTGCAACCTTACGAAGAGCATGAGTGGATATTTTATAGTAAAATTCCAATTTAATTTACTGTGCGAATTAAATTATTAAACTACAACGTTGCCATCAAAGAAATGGAAAACGAATGGATTGCGTTTGGTATAGATCGAAGTCTTCAGATCCAGTAAAATGAATGCAGGATTTATTCCAAAAATTCGAGCATGATGTTAGAGCGACAGGTAAGTCTGGAATGGTACCAGTGGCAATTTCCATATGTTTTTGTGTTCGAGATGGTAATTATATCGTATCTTATATTTATCTCGTAATCAATAAGTAAAACAAAGATTACTGTAAGAAATTTCTTCCAATGGGTTTCTTCACTTTTATTGCGCTATTTTACCTAATGAAAAATGATAGTTTGTCGAAGAGATATTGACAATTCAACTCAAAAATAAAGATATTGGTCATCAATGAAGAAGATGTTTTGGTGGGTTTATGCCTCTCTTTACATTTAATGTATCAATTTAAAAAATATTAACGATGAATTTGATGTAATGTTAAATCATATTTATGTAGATAATTAATATTTTTTTTAATAAAGCAGTGGAACGAGTTCTTTATGGCGGAACCAGTCTAATAACAATTCGCGCCTATATATGTTTGAAATCCTGATGTAAAAAACATATAACAAAAAAAAAATAATAATAAAATTTAATAATAAAAAAAACCTTAACAATAGTTGTATTTTCGGCATTAATATTACACCTGAAAATTCGAGTTGAATCCGGTTAGTCACAAATCATACTGCGCCTTAGATGATCTACAGCTGCGCCGAATATTATGAAAATGATACATGTTAAACATGTAATATATGTATCGTTTGATCGAATAATTTACTTTTTAATATAATATTATATAGTCTACTTTTTATTACTTATATTATATTCTTTAGTTTTCATTATATGTATTATTTTTATTTATTAAAAAGCGTAGCATAGTACTAGTTAACGATTTTATATAAATAGACCTGTAAGTTGACCTTGAGTCAACAGAGTTTTGCTCAGGGATTGAGAGAAGTCTAGGGATTAGACTTATAACTCTACAGTTTAATAAAGTTACTATTACCACTTCAACCTTCTTCTTGTCTTCATCATAGGATTGATCGTGATAACCTACTACACAAGTGAATCGTGATAATAAATTGTTTTGTTTGTTAATCGTTAATTTCTCTTAGGAAAGGCCTTTGAGATAGTTGTGTTATTTAAGTTTATTGGTTTTGTTAGCTTGGTTTGAGACGATTCCAGGTCTTACACTGGGTTAAACAATAATCGGGTTGAGTCAAATTCGGGTTTGGTAATTATTAACGGGTTTGAGTTCGAATATGTCAAACCAGACCCGACCTGACCCTTACGGAGCACTATCCAGAACAAAGACATGAAAGTCTTCGTCAATATCACTATAATTAAAATTATTCAGCTGGTACTTAAAATTCATTATTTTCGCAATTTTATTAGGTGAATATGAATTTAATAACAAATTTCATGTTTTGGAATAGATATCTTTAACGGGTTCAACAAAAATTCCAGTTTATAAGGGCATGAACCTAAATGACTGCGCCTTTCTGACTTTCTGACATTACCATTTCTGCCTTTAATTAAATGATTAAGATCATACAGACCTTCAAAAATACTTTTTAGTGTAATTGATGTTCGTAAACCAGAGAAATTATAAACGTTACCAAAAAGATTTGGTAAAATTGAAATACTTGCCAATGTAGGAACTGTTTTTGTCAGAGCATGAACTACATATCACATGATTCTCCTTCAGATGGAACCACCCTAGCGTCACCTAGAAAAAATGGTAGCCGGATAGTTTTTCTGAGTAACACGTGATTTCGAAAACTGATTTCTGGTTAATTTATCACAATTTTTATTATTAGTAAAATACTTCGATAAATAACTGAATAAATAAATAAAAATATTAAGTTTTTAAGAAAATCGTAAAATTTTATTTATTGTCATTATTTATTTTATTTATTCCCAATACATTGTATTTTTGTTAAAGTTTTTCCATGTTTTTGGCATTGTTATTCATCTTTTCCAACAATCTGAAATTTTTGTGAATATTTTTAACCATAGATGTCATTTTAGTTTGTTATATGATTCTTTAACAATTCTTTAGCCTAAAAAATTCATTTTGACATTAATAAAGACTAAAAATGCATCTGTATATAAAATTTAGTTACCTTATCTAATACTTCATATAAATAAACAAAATCAGTTTCATATATTTGTTGTTCTTCATCATCACTTTCAATAATATAATCATCTTCATTCTCAATAATTGAATTTTAGATCAATAAAATATTTGAAATTTTATGATTTTGAGGAGCTTCCAAACCAAATACATTAACCAGTTCACCTTCATAAGATGAAATTAATAGATAATTTACATTTTTTGCATCTTTAATTAGAAACATTATTAATTAAATAATGAATACAAATATCAAAATCAAAACAACTTATCACTTACTTTCTTAAAGAATAATGCATCAACTTTTTCAACAGAATTAACTAGATGTTTACACAAAAAGAAACGGCTTTGAATATATGCAGGACATACACATATTCACTTTGTTGGATCTGTAAAATATTTGCCATTTATTTCTGTAGTTTTTTTCATGTTGTTTCCATTCATTTTTAAACTCCTTCCGCCATGGTATCGAATAATGACCTTGCTGAAGTAATTGAATTCGATATAATTACTGGCTGATCACTTTTTTAATAAGAATAAAACATAAATAATCAACTCGAAGCTTGTGAAACTTATATAAATAATCATATTTAATATATTGCCAATGTGATTCAATGATCATTGTAGTTGTAATATGGCTAATATTTTTATTAACCGCTCTTGCTCATAAATTTCACTTTTCTTTTGAATACCATTCTTTCTATAGGTAAATCTATAATTGGAGTAATTCATTATCTTTGCAAAATTCTATAATTTCTTTGATACACTCTTTCCAAATTTCATCTGCATTTATAATAAAGGTGTCATCATATTTTAGCAATAACATATAATGATTTGAATGATTTTCAACAAGTTTAATTACAGTTTTTCATAAATTTATAGGGCAAAATACTGAATTTGAATTATTTACAATTTCCCAACTAGGATCTATTATTGAACTTTCTTCATATGCAGCTTTTAAATTATAAGAATAGTATGCACCAATTTTATTAGATGATAAATGTTGTATAATAGCCTGTCTTAAATGTCAGATACATAATTGTAAACGTGCTTCAGGTTATACTATTTGTGCTGCATTAATTTCTGCAAAATCTTTATCAGTTAAAATAAAAAAGTTTCTTAGATTTCGTTCTTTTAAAGCTTGTATTCACTGAATAAGAATCCCTATTATATTTTGATTTATCTCAACTGAAATTATAAGATAGTTAAGAAAAAATCCAGTACCATCTATTACACCTATAATTGCATATAATTTCCATGCCAAATTATTAGTATTATAAGTTACATCAATTTCAATTACTTCAAAATTATGGTAAAGCAATTTGTAAAACAATTCTATTAAAAATCCAAGAGCAGGTATAGAAGTATCAAGATTATTTACTATAATTTCTTAGTTAAACTCTTCTAATAAATATTTTGCTGATAATAAAGGATTGGTATCATGATAGTATACCTTATGAGATTGAATAGACCACTAATAATAAGTTTGTTGAACTGTTATATTTCTTATCCAATAATTAGATTTTTTGAATTTGGCGTTGTGACAGGTAAAATTTTAGATAGATTTAATTGGTAGAATAGGAAGTCAATTTTATTGCCATGTAGATCTTCT